CAGCGTGACCTTTACTATGTTGACCTCATTATGCACGTATTTCCGCGCCCATCTCATTATAATATGTGCATCATGAATATTTAATAGCAATGAATTTCCTGCAGAATAAACCAGTCAGGGTGATTTCGCGCTAACACCTCCATTTCGCGATTTTTTTAAAATTTTTATTTAAACTACAAAAACAAATTAATCACCCCGACTACGCCAGTCTACCACTAGGTGTACTGCCCCCATCTCCAGAAGGCTGGCTACTTCCTGCCGGGTTGTCTCAACCTTGACCTTGTCCCTCGGTAGAAGACCAGAGGGAGGATGAGGAGTCAGATGAGGAGGAGGTCGGAGAGGAATGCGATACCCTGAGACTCTACTACGAGCGTCCTGAGTCAGTCTTCTGCACCAGGTTAGTGTTTGCTGCATGAGGCGTGATCCAACGGGGAGGAGTGGTCAGGGGTTTGGAGCTAGAGCTCACAGAACACCGGCCTCAAGCGCAGGACGAAGATGGGGAGGCTAAGCCCGAGGACGACTCGGGGGGGGGGGGGGTAGTCATACCACCATCCATGCCCAGGCAGCCTATCAAGCTTTCAAAGAAAGTTCATGGCTCCCTGGCTCCCAGAAGTGTCATAAGGTCCTACCACCAGGTTTGATGGGTTTAAGTACTGCCCGCAGAACCCGATGCAAATGACCATACAACCTTCCTGATCCGTGCAGCCCGCCTTAAAGGCTTGAGTACCTGTGAAGAAGGCTGTGGCACCACATGAGTATCACAAATAAGGTCCAGTTGACTGTTTGCATAGCCAACAGTCCAAAGGCAACAGGGGTACTAACACTGGAGCCCCCCCTCCCCCTCCCAGAGTAACACTTAAAAATTTCTGGTCAATATTCTGGCCATTAAGAAAATAGTGGCCATTATACTGACTTTTTAAAGGGGTCTGAGGGGTGTAAAAAACAGTGTTAAAGTGAAATGAAAAATTATTATAACCTCCTCACTAACCTAAAAGCACAAATAAATATTCAAAAGTTGTGAAAATTAAAACTTTCCGAAACGCGACGGAATTTCCGAAAGTAATCCGGACGCTGTTTCAAGTTTACAGAGGTTGGGAGACATCGGACTTCATATAGAGTCCATAATCATATATATGAACCTAAAACACAAGTCCCTATTTTTGACTATGTCTGACAGGTAGTAATATAAAAGGAGGCAGAGGTTGGTAATCATTAATGTTGAGTTTTAGTTTTAACTTGCAACACAGTCACCCATACCTTCGATTAGCTTTATGCTCCCCCAAATTCTTTGGCTTTGAATAGAACATAGCTAATTTAGTTAATGAATACAATATTCTTTCAACTCGTATACAGACAACTCAAAACACATTTAACCAATGATACTTGTATTTTAGTATTAAAATATTTATTTCCCTTTAGTTTAGAAAAAAAATGAAAATTATACATACAACAAAATTCAGTGTTATAACATTAAAATCATACCTCATAAATAATCATAACAGCAATATTTGCATACTCGGGAATTTAAACTCTGATTGGATAGAAGCCTTTCCAGTTATAAAATACAGCTTACATTTTATGGAAAGCGCATTAATATAAAAATACATCAAGAAATAGACAGCTGAATTGCATTATACCCAAATATTCAGACTAACCCCGTTAGTATAAAAAAATTACAAATATAAAAATTCACCTGTTAGATAAAACAGTACAAATTGTTAACAATATTGCATGTTTTTTAAGAATAAACTCAGATGAACATAGGAGGTAATTTGCAGCAAGATCAACATCTTTGAATTTAATTTGTATTTATCTTGTAGTCAAGGTATAATAATAACTCACACAAATTAGACATTTGATATGCATGTTATTAAATACAAGTGATTTTTAGAAACAAATATAATCATAAATAGAAGACTCTTGATTCAACAATTTCAGTCATGTGTTGAGAAGATACATTACTTGAATAATAAATATTTAAAAAAATGAGAATTACAAAACAAACGTCTATACCTACAATGCTGGCATTCTAAATCTTCTGTGAAATGCTCGAAATAGTCAATTCATTTCCACATAGAAGAAAAGTATCAGTACAACAATTTTTCAGTTCAAATAATATTTTGGGGTTGTTATATAACTAAAGGAATACATTGATTATTAAAAAACATAGTTGAAGAGAAATCACGATCCTACACATGAGCACCTTTACTATGGTATTAAACCTTGTTTTGCATATAAAAATATATATGGTAAACACTTGGATGAACTTGGTGGGTCGTTGGGTTGAACTGCCAATTTATTTTATTCATTGCAAAATATAGCACACAATACAACTAAAATGACTAAACTTTTGTAAAATGTCACAAAGAAAGAAGCCAGCTTCTAAATATACAGTACAGCACAGTTGAATATTTTTTTAATTACTAAATATATCATATAAAAATTGTAAATAGTTAGTAATACAAATCAAGGTGTTATTTTTAAAAAGATTCTTTTTCATCATTCACACAAACATGCCGTCTTGGGATTAAAATTTGAAAACTTTTGGTTATGGAAGTATTGTTTAAAGATTATTTTTCAAGAGTTTATATGGAATGTTGATGGATAACCAAAAAAAAGTTTTCATTTCTGTGTATTTTGCATTTACAAGTGCTTCTTGTAACCAAGATGATTGTAGTCCTACAATTCTACATCTTTGTCATTTGGATCATAAAATTCAGGTTCATGTTCAATTTCCTGTTTGGATGGATCTGGAAAAAACAACAACAAATATTTAAAACTTAAACAGCATTAGTCTATGTTGATTGATGTCAGCTGGGTTCAGACAAGGATGTGCAAGGTAAAAGTTTGCAACATGGGTGATACTTAATAAAAATACCATTAATCACACCAACTGAACAAATACAAGTATCAAAGCAATTTCATCAGAGAATGCAAATTTTGGTAAAGTTTAATTCAATAAAATGAAATAAGAGAGGTGATAGTATATATAGCTTTGCACAAGACCAAGGACATTAGCCCATGATGGGCACTAACCAATTTAAAGTATTTATTAAATGTACATTTATTTTGGTATTTTGTTTTCACACGATTAGTGTCACATATCTAATATACCCTTTTTTTCTATATATTTTTTTATATTTTAACATATTGGGTTTTATATTCTATTTATCATTACATAGAGGCAAAAATTGTGTTATTATGTAAATGATACAAATCTGCCAGATTTCAATATGAACATAATTTTTACCAAAGTCACAGCAGGTGAGATTAGGTTAGTAGAGGTGTAATCCAGGTTACTGCAGCCAAGGTGAAGTGAGTGCATTCATTGGAACATTTCTCCAGTAAAGAAAGATTATTCATAATGTGTATGAAAAGAGGAAAGTTATAGAATTATGATTAATTGCAATAAAGTAGTTTTCATCCATTTATTACTATTTTCAAGCTAGAATTTTGAGGCAAACTTTTGGTGCAAATCACTATGGTATAAAAAAGAGAAGCTGTGAAGAAATTATGAATTTGAATAATATTATGATTTTGACTGCATTACATATTTCCTTAATATTTTGTTAGAGTAACAGTATCTGTAGTTAACATGCATATTTTATACAAAATATTCATAATTTTAACATTACTTAGAACATTTTAAGATTAGATAGATATACTGTACCTGTCACATTCTACAATTTGAATGAGTAGACAAAATAATTAGAAACAAATCCAGAGTAATGGATTGAAATGTCATATACGAGAATTGTTTTCCATTAACATAAATTGTAAACTGCTTTAAATTGGCTGCTTTCCATTTTAACAATTTAGTAATAATTAATATCTAATTTTCATAAAGTCACTTACAGTGAATTTTTTGACACAAACGGTGATGCAAGTATAAAAACACTGATTTTACACAACATGTTTTACACACCATGTTTATACCAATAATGTACAAATGTATATTGTAAAAAGACACCACAATCCCAGCCAATTTTATTAAGATAATTTTCAGTAATATTAGGTTTCATATGTACAGAAACTTTCTGAAGGCCTGGGGAAAGGGGGGCTAAGGCAAACTTGATTGCCAAATATAGAAATCGATAAGAAATGAGAGCTAAGTCAGTTAAATTCAGTACATTACTTTCGTTTGTTTTATGTGATAATAAATCTTTACCAACATATGTTATCTAATGAAATTCACTTTGCTCTGTAGAAATTGTTTTGATTTTCACTGGCTTGTAAAAATTCATGAAAATTAGTTCTATTTTACATACATGCCAGTAAAGTTGATATAAAAGCTTTGGATTTGAACTTGACTTCACAAATTAGTTTTGTTATATTGCAAAGCCATGCATTCATAATACCATGCAGGATGCACACATGTAGGTACAAGAGGCTAGTTGAAAGCAGTACCTGTTATATAAGGGTAAACTACTG